GTTACTATGTGGTTGCTAATGTATTCTGAATAAATATGGTGTTTTGGATGGTTGCAAAGGGTGTTGTTAAAAACAGTTAGTCTGCATTTCACTGACTAGATATATCTGATTCAAAAGGTTCTTCCACAGCCTAATAGGGAAGACATGAAGCTGAAGAGATTTGAAGAGAGTGACACAGACAGGATATCTCCAATTTTTTGGACACAGGAGGTTTGAGAGTGGAGTTTTGCTGGGAAGTTTGGGGGTTGTTAGCTGTCTGAGCTGTCCTCACTGGTCTGTACTCTCATCCTGATGATAACACGCTCTCTGTGGACACAGAAACCTTTAGCTTTATAGATTGTGCTGGCTCTGCTCATTTGAAAATCTGTCCCATGTGACTCCCTCCCACAGTACTCGCATGCACAAAGATTGCATCCTTCCATCTCAGTCTCTCTCTTCCTATCTGTCCCGCTCCATCTCCATCATAGTTACACACATTCACACAGTATGAGGTTTCATGCACCTGGTGAGTTTGAGTGTGTGTGCTCATAGACTATAAGCGATGAGAAGAGGAGCAGTAGGTTGAGTGTGATGAAGCTCATATAGAGGAGAGAGTCGTTTATCTCTGGCCATGTGAGAGATATAATGTAAATAACCTCAGCCTCACACGATCGATTTATCAGACCTTCGGCTCAATCTCGCATAAACACAGCTTTGGGGTGACCCCACATCTGTCGGGCCGTCCCCACATGCACAACTTTAAGATGAACCCATAGTGTTTGAGTGTAAGAAAGCCTGCCTGACTTTTATATAAACATATCTTTATAATAACTGCCTGGTGAGAATTACAGTATTACATTTTGAACTGTTCTCCTACTTTCTTACTGGATAGAATGCCAACGTTTTCACATAACAGTACTGAAGGTCAGAGACAAAATGGCACGTAAAAAATGTCCATTCACATTGATTAAATCCATATACATATAATAATAAAATGAATAAAAGAAAGACCCTCAAATCTTTTGGCCTCACTGACTCTGTAATTGAAAGTATGGATAAGAAAAACAGGTAGGGATACAGGGATATTAAAAAGTTATTGCAACTATCCTATATGTTTATTGTGTGTGTCCACATTCACTGTTCTAAGGAAAGATTGTACATCACAGATTTATAACAACAGATACACCCCAAAGATTAATTATTGTTTCCATCTTCCTGCAGTAACTTACAAAGACTGTATTGCTGACCACAGACAAACACTGTAAGGGTTTGACTCTGTTTGTAGCAAAACCTGCCAAAGACACCCAGCAAGACAGAAACTCTCTTGTATTGTTTAAAGGGATTTTTCTTTGTAAGTATTTATGTCCGGCGTTGTTGTGTCCTCCCTAAAACTTTGCGACAAGGCAAAATACTTGTGCATTCCAACTATGGACATTGACCTTGACAGTTAGCAGCTCCAATGCAGGGGGAGTAACACCGCCACTCCCAGCCTCCCTACCCCAAAACACACACAAACATAAACAAAAGCCACACACACATCCACAAATACAACACATACACAGCTGCAAGACATCTTGATAATATCTGACAGCCGATCCATTCCAGGACATTATTCATCACAGACTGCACTCCATGCCCTTGTCTCTCTTCTCGCTTGCGTCCGTGTCCCTTGTGACACACTAACCATCCTACAGGTCAGATGTACAGACATAACTGTATATGATTATCTAAACAAAAACCTACATCTTCACTAACCAACAGATTTTTCTCATACATTCCAATGTACTGTATCAGACTTCCTCCTTGAGTCCTTAACTAGCATTTAAAACCATGCCATATATCTATATTAAGCAGTTTGTCAGTTATAAACTCTTTCATGAGGTGTTATGTTTTTATTAAGTGACTCTACAATGTTTGACCCAAGAGCTGCCTAACTGGATAATTTGTATTCAAGCCAATAAATCTTTTTTTTTTTTTTACTTGTTTTGTTATTCTAATTCATCTCTTTATTTTTTACCGGGGTTGTCACTTCAATTTTTTTCCCATCCTAGAGTTTAGTTCTGGCCTGGAACCGCCATTTGTTAGCTGCCACATTGCAGCGAGTATGTCATTGAAGTACATGTAAGATTAAGTGTGTGTGCAGTTGCTGTTATCTGTCATCTTGCGAGTTAGGTGACCACCTCTCCTTATGTGTTTTGTGTGTGTGTGTGTGTGTGTGTGTGTGTCTGTATATATCTCAGTATTAGAGTGTGTGTGTGTGTGTATGTGTGTGTGTGCTTGAGTTCTAAGTCGGATGTGGACATGTGAGTGTCCAGTTTCCAGTAACCTTTGACCCTATAGAGCTAATTAGTGATATCCCCACTAACACAACTGAGAAAATCACATTCTGTGGCATTTGTTCAACCATTTTTCATTTACAAACACTGCTGTTCACCTGTTGCTGTCTGTCACCGTTATACCAGAGGAACTGAAAGACAAATGAAATGCAGTTAGTGATCACAAAAGAATTTTGAAATAGATATCATATATGGTCATTATTTCCATATTTTATGTAATGAATAAAATGCATGCAAATTGTCAATTTTGTAAAGCCTGTGCTGCCATTTTTATTAATTAATAAATTTTATTTATTTATTTTTAATTATTTAGAATTAATGAAAATAAAAATGTCAGCACAGGCATTAAAATGTGTGTGTATATATGGGGGGGGGGGTATTTTTTCAGATAAGTTATGCAAGTTTAAAGATTTTTTTATAGTTGATTGCTCAGTGCATGTATATTAAAAATCAAAAGGATATAGTTATGACCATACAGTCTCTCTGTTTATTGTTGTTATTTTTTTTATAAATAATTATAAAAATATTAACAATAATTTGAGCATTTGATTTGTCATCCTTTTTTCTAATTTTATGCATTTTTTCCCACTGTAGATATTTCATTTTGAATGTTCCAAATGTGACTAATATATCAAAATGATAAATGTAAATATGGTTTCTGCAGGTCATGCCTGAGTTCCTTTTATAATGTTATTGAATACAATAATGGGACTGTTCTGTATTAAGCTGTCTGTTTACCTTTCTGGGTTTTAGTGTCAGGGAAGACGAGAGAGCTCAGTCTGAGAGTGACTGTGGAAAACAGTGGCTATAAGCTCTTCACATAATGCTGCACCAGGGCAGGACGATTAATCTTATATCCTGCTTTTATATTCTTTTGACCGGCCCACCCACCAGGGAGGAAGAAAGAGAGAGACTCACAGTCAGAAAGACTGTATGGCCCTATTACCATATCCTCCTACTTTTTATATACCTGCACTGAGCATCTGTAAAGGTTCTTTCAGTTACTTCAGTTTAAGATAATTGAAAACAACTCTCTTTGATTTATCACACCTGTAATCTCAGTAAAACCTGATATGCCACTGCAAGAAACAAGATCTGTCCATTCATCTGTCAGTTTAAGAACTATGGCAAGGTTAAAATACCTTTGGTAATTTGCTGTGGTAGAGAAAGAAAAGGGATGCTGTTTGTGAGACACCGGAACTCTGAGGTGTCAGAGGGCAGATCTCTGGAGATTCTCTCTCCTTCTTTGGTAATCTCTAAGCTTATTACCACGTGGACATATCGTTCTTTTTGCAGTTTTACGCATTTGTTTAATCTGTGCTTCACTATAACTAAGGGCATCTAAAGATGATGGGCATTAATTACCATGCTGAGGAGGGAGCAGCAGATGCCCCGCGTGTGTCGTAGCAATCATCACCTGATTTAAAACCACTCTTGAGTCGCCTTCAGCCGCGCCACTTAGAGCTCGCACAGATCGGGATGTTTTGGCTTGAATTAGTCGGTTGTATTAGAGACCGGTGTGGGGTACCATTAAAACAGCAAAACATGGGGTTTGGGGACGCGGAGTATCCATTTCACGTGCCCCTCCGGAGGCGCCAGTGGGCCATTTGAGACGCTTCTCGTGGGATCCTATTAGAGGGCATCGGTGCTGAAAGCTGTACGGACTCTCCGCGCAATTACGCGTGGGGTCACCACTGTACCATTTTATGAATCCCACTGTTCCAGTGCGCGCACAACCGTTATTTAACCGTTAACCGTCAGAGACCCACCATTAAAATCCTCAGTCATATGCCACCTGACAACTCCGAGGAATTCAGAGAGCACCGAGCAGGTGATGCTAAACGTGAAACCCACAAATATTTACGTTTGTCAGCCGTTATAAAATATAAATATAGGCTATAGCTATTTTACTATTTCCAACTGATAATACGGAATACAGTACGTTTTAAAAAACTTAGAATTCAAATTTTAATGTAACGTAATAATAATAATAATTATTATTAGGCTATTATTGTCGTTGTTGTTATTATTATGTAAAAACATTTTTGGAAAAAAAATGCTATAGTTGCATTAATAATTTAAATTGGATATAGGCCTACTGAATTAAAAATGACATTTCTTGTCAAAATTACGTTTCTTAATTGAAGAGGGGGCTGACAAAATGTTTTACTAATAAATACCGAGGAAGGAAGAGGCTGAATTGTGCTTTGAAAAACATTAATTTGATCTTTTTTGGAAATATTTACAATTATTGGCATTGACTGTAATACACTTATAGCCTATAATAATATTTTAATTATGCTTATACTATATTATAATATGAATAAACCAAATTTTTCAGATTAACCTAAAAAAAATTCACTGTGAATTAAAACATACAATTTGTACCATAGATTTTTCTGTTCCTGTATGCATTAAACTATACCACTGCAAAAATGGTGCACAACTGTGATTATCTGAGCAGGTTTAGTGTTTGCTTCCACCAAGCGTGCGGGGGTTACGCCCCTGAGCGCGAGAGATAAATGGTAAGATCCTTTAGCTCGTGAGTTACAAGTTACGCTCATCCTCAACTCGCGCATGACACGTTTCTGCTCCGACGGCGGTCGCGTTATCTCCAGGCCCATTTAGAGAAGCACAAACTCGCATCTCCTCAGACTTACTTTTCTCCACTACACTCGTCTCCAGCTCAACATGTCCACCGGCTCCATCAGCGATGTGGATGAATTTCACGAGTCTGAGCTGCTGGATAGTCTTTTGAAATTCGGTTCCGGTAAAGATCCGGGGACATCAAACGAGAGCACGGAGGACAGCTCCAACTGCGAAGGGGCCTCGGTTACAGAATGTACGGGGAAAAGGCGCAAATCAGCCGCAATGCGTAAATCGGCGCCCAATGGTGTAGCCCAAGAGGGCAAGCAGGTCCAGAGGAACGCGGCGAACGCGCGCGAGAGGGCAAGGATGCGCGTGCTGAGCAAAGCGTTCTCCCGGTTGAAGACGACGTTACCGTGGGTTCCGCCGGACACCAAACTCTCCAAGCTGGACACGCTGCGGCTGGCCTCCAGCTACATCGCGCACCTGCGACAGATACTCGCCAATGACAAATACGAGAATGGCTACATACATCCAGTCAACCTGGTGAGAGACTTTTTAAAAACTTTTCGCCAATAAAAAAAACTAAACTAAATAAACAATCCCAGTAAGCAAGATACGTTTATGGTATAGTAATGTACCATGTTTTGGTTATTTTAACATCCTTACTTCCAACCAGTTAACAATCATTTCTGTCATTTTTATCCGTTTTTATGAATTTTCAATCGATTTTATTCAGTGTTCCAAAAGTTGACTTTGGCAACACTTTACTTTGATTTTACTTGGCCTACAAAATGGAGGCAGAAATTACACTTAGGTTTTAAGTTTTATTGCGTTGAACTGTTTTGATTTTACTTTAAATGGAGGCAGGAATTACATTTAAGTTTTTCATTTAAGTGTATAAATGGTAAATAATCAGGCTTAAAATAAGCATGTTCTGAAAATGATTAGTCCTTCAGAAATTATAGGTTACATGACCGACACTGTCTTGCTTTTTATTTCAATAGTTTATTGACGGTTATAGTACTTGACAAAATGGTATGGAATATCCTCAGTTATGTTGCCTAGGCTATGTTTACCATGTATATATATTTTTTTTAAACAAACAAAAGTTATTAGTTCTCAGTTATTTGGTGTGTTTGCCCATTTTAATTGAACTTTCATTCATACTTTTTTTCCACAGACGTGGCCGTTTATGGTGGCGGGCAAACCAGAAAATGAACTTAAAGCAATGATGAATTCTACACGTTTATGTGGGACTACAGCTTCCTGATACACCAGATGGACTTAAAACATGGACCTATTTTAAATATTTGAATTTAAAAAAGAATAACACATCATCTCCTATCTAAACACGAGTGGGAATAATGGAGACAACATCCTCACTCGCATTCCTGTAAAGAGAAATTGATATCTATTTAAATATTCACACTTGGGCCTTGCTGGTTCAAGGCAACAATGTGTAATTTTATGCAGTTGTTTTTTTTAAAGATTCTGTCATTACTTTTTTATTATTAAAAACACGAGAAATCATTATGCATATAGGGCTTTGGTGACGCGCCTTTGCTGTTTGCATTAGAATAATTGTAAATAAAAATGTTATAGTTTCAAGTGATGCAGGTTACCTCTTTGATCGAGCAAAATTCATGTTTATTCACTTTGCTTTGACCTGTGTGAACCTTGTTATCATTTCGCCCCACCTTTTTCTCTCAAGATCTCTGGCGAGAGGACATGTCACCCTGTCACCCTGCCTGCAAGAGATAACGTGATTAATTCCCTTAATCGGAAGAAACGTAAACCTTCTCTTTATCATGATATATCTGTCATCAGATAAGCATGCTCTTAACCGTTTTGGAAATCAAAGCGAGCGCTTCCAATAGAGATCGAGAAACTTCTCCAAAAACTCATTTTTATTCCCCCGACTCCGAATTTTCTGAAGTAGTCAGGCCAGAAAAAAACTGTAGGCTGACGTGGTCCGTGTTTAAGGTCAGTTGTTTTAAGACCAGTGAATCGCGCGGCTCTTAATCTCGCTGTGCAGCCGTTGTTTAATTTCGCGCGGGGTTGTGACCGTTATGTTTATAGCGCGCGGACAGATATTTATGCAGCACTCCTCTGAGGGGCGCGAGAGCACGAGTTACCCGGAGTTACCGATGATGGGACGCCCGATGTCACAGCCACGCCGCGGCCTTAAAGCTTAGAAAAGCACTGCCCCCGCGTATATAACTGTATTCCACATTAAACTAGTCATCACTGCTCTCTCGCAGAATTACAGAAATCCGCGCGGTGAGACAAAACGGTTTGATGGCGCAAGACAATAACAAGCCCGCCGCCATCATCCATCACGCGCTGTTATTGTAAGGAGAGGCTGAGGGGTGATCTGTGCGAGTCTGAGAGCGAGGGAGGCTTAAGCACACACACACACACACTTGGGCAATAAAGCAGCTCTAAACATTGTGAAATCCTCTGATAAGTCTTAATATTAGATATGATTATAGGAATACTTTTCTACTTGTCGTTTATTAAAATAGAGCTGTCATGCCGCCAGTTTGTAGGCTTGTCCTGAAGGCTAATTTGGGTTCCCTCAGAAATTGTCTTTGGGTTTTTAGCATGGTGGCTTATGATTAATCAGATTTTTGTGTTCAATTTCACTTAAATCGGTTACATATCAGACGCCAAAAAAAAAAGAGAAAATAAACTCAATTGTGGCTATTTGTAGCTCGAAAATTGAAGTAGCCTACGGCCTACTGTAATTTACAGGGAGCCAGAAAAGACGTTCAGCATTCATAATATCGGCTAAATTGGCATTGGCAAATTCGGTTATGTATTATTTAAGCAACAATTGGAGCAGTGACCTGAAGATTTCTGTGACAATCGTAACAGAGAGACAGAAAAGACGTTCAACATTCATAATATCGGCTAAATTGGCATTGGCAAATTCGGTTATGTATTATTTAAGCAACAATTGGAGCAGTGACCTGAAGATTTCTGTGACAATCGATATATATATATATATATAAAGTTTATAAAAATTCTTATAAGCCTATGTTTTTAAGTATACACTTTTTCACTACACATTATATTTTTCTTATCTTTTTGAACGTTCTTTTTATAAAAATTGTCTCCATCTGCTGAGACAGTGAAAGTGACATTTTCTCTGTCTCTATAAACTTTCAGAGGCATTCGAGTGGATGTAAAAATATTTATATCTCATGCTAATAAGTTTTATGGGGCATCTTTTTCTCACGGGACGCTGGAAAGCTCCGCAAACCTCTCCTAAGAGAATAAGACGGAAAGATCTTTTCTTTCTCCCCTTCTTCGTCTTCTTTTTCTGTCATCACCTGAAAATCAAAAGAAAGTCTTTTCTTTTTATGTAAAGGAGTTCTCCTTTACTTCCTGTGCGAAGCACATGTTCATCGTATAGCTATATAAATCAGCACGGATAAATCAAGGCGGCCCATCACCGCAAGACCACCGCAGAGAACACTGAACACTGCCCGGGTCAGCTGCGCTCTGCCCGGCAGCGGGAGGAGGAGGCAGGGAGGGTCGGTCATTAGAAAGATAAAGTGGACCCAGGATTCCCATGCGCTGCGAGAATATGGCTAATTGTTTTGTTGGCCGGCTGCCCAAACCTCTCTTTTATAGTCCTAAAGTCTCTTGAGAGGGAACATTGGCATGTAGTCTAGATGCACATAACTAAAAACTGCCAGATAAGAGTGCGTGTGTGTGTCAGCTAAAGTTTACGATGAGCCTTAGACGTTGGTTTAAAACGGCTAATATTAAACCACTCGTGTCTGGACAGCATCTGAGCTGGTAGGCTATGTCACCCTTCACTCAAAACTCCGTTCCTTAAATAGTTTTTTTCCAGTGACTTAAAAACTTTATTTATACTTGACATAAAACAATACAGAAACTAAATGACGAGACCTTTTAAAATGTTCTTCTGTGAGTGGGAGAAACTGCATCAATCATGACACAATAGGTTTCAGCACCTAGACACTGAACAGCGACTGAAGAACTCAATCAGTCTCACTATAGGTTAGGTTACATCAGAGACGTGAAAATCAACACTGTAGCAATATGCATTCATTTTGCAGACTGGATTAGAACAAAGTGCACCAGAAGGTACAAATACTTGCAAATGTAGGAGTTTGTTTCAAGTATGCTAGTGCAAGAGAAGCCTATAGCCTATATTAAAAATAAATAAATAGATAAATATTCACCCAACGAAAACTGAAAAGTCTTTAAAAGAAAACGTTCTAAACGTTCTAATAAATCCAAACTGACAACCTGCAGTTGATTTGCGCTTGGACCACTTTGAATTAGGTTACTGATTAATTTAATTATTATTGATGAAGTTTGAAACTCATAAAATCGTATAAATTATTATCCCATCCATTTATAAATTTAACCGAAACAAAAATGATGACATAATATCCTCCTTTTTCCCATTCTTATCTTTAATGTTAGTGGTGTTTGAATTCATAGGGATCAAAAATTAAAATTACTATTAACTAATATCAATCGCTTCAGTTTTTTTTTTACATAATTACGATTATATTTTGTGGGGATTCTATATTATCATACTGTTTATTTATTTATTTTTTTAGTTAGTTTTAAATAATACAAAGATAATACATTTTACAAGAAATTCACAGTATAGGTAGTTAATACATTATTATTGTTCATCAGTCATAATATCATCGTATCCATTGGCAAATACAGGTGTAGGCTAGTTGTAGCCTGTTATTTAAGCACCAAATGGAGCAGTAACTTGAATATTTCTGTGACAATCGAGATTTCTATTTTTCATATCGCCAATATTTTTTAGACTTTTCTTACACCATACTTTTATTTATTTATAGCATTATTTTTATAAAATTTTCTAAATCTGCTGAGAAAATTAAAGTGGTATTTTCTGTGTAGACTTTTAAAGGCACTCCAGAGGATGTAAAAAATATTTATATCTCACGCTAATAAGTTTTATTGGACATCTTTTTCTCACGGATGCTGGAAAGCTCCCCTCACCTCCCCTCAGAGAATAAGACAGAAAGATCTTTTCTTTCCCCCCTTCTTCGTCTTCTTTTTCTGTCATCATCTGAAAATCAAAAGAAAGCATTTTTTTCTTAATTTGAAGGAGTTCCCTTATTTCCTGTGCGAAGCGCACGTTCATCAGCACGGATAAGTCGAGGCGCTCCATCACCTCAAGACCACCGCAGAGAACACTGAACACTGCCCGGGTCAGCTGCGCTCTGCCCGGCAGCGGGAGGAGGAGGCAGGGAGGGTCGGTCATTAGAAAGATAAAGTGGACCCAGGATTCCCATGCGCTGCGAGAATATGGCTAATTGTTTTGTTGGCCGGCTGCCCAAACCTCTCTTTTATAGTCCTAAAGTCTCTTGAGAGGGAACATTGGCATGTAGTCTAGATGCACATAACTAAAAACTGCCAGATAAGAGTGCGTGTGTGTGTCAGCTAAAGTTTACGATGAGCCTTAGACGTTGGTTTAAAACGGCTAATATTAAACCACTCGTGTCTGGACAGCATCTGAGCTGGTAGGCTATGTCACCCTTCACTCAAAACTCCGTTCCTTAAATAGTTTTTTTCCAGTGACTTAAAAACTTTATTTATACTTGACATAAAACAATACAGAAACTAAATGACGAGACCTTTTAAAATGTTCTTCTGTGAGTGGGAGAAACTGCATCAATCATGACACAATAGGTTTCAGCACCTAGACACTGAACAGCGACTGAAGAACTCAATCAGTCTCACTATAGGTTAGGTTACATCAGAGACGTGAAAATCAACACTGTAGCAATATGCATTCATTTTGCAGACTGGATTAGAACAAAGTGCACCAGAAGGTACAAATACTTGCAAATGTAGGAGTTTGTTTCAAGTATGCTAGTGCAAGAGAAGCCTATAGCCTATATTAAAAATAAATAAATAGATAAATATTCACCCAACGAAAACTGAAAAGTCTTTAAAAGAAAACGTTCTAAACGTTCTAATAAATCCAAACTGACAACCTGCAGTTGATTTGCGCTTGGACCACTTTGAATTAGGTTACTGATTAATTTAATTATTATTGATGAAGTTTGAAACTCATAAAATCGTATAAATTATTATCCCATCCATTTATAAATTTAACCGAAACAAAAATGATGACATAATATCCTCCTTTTTCCCATTCTTATCTTTAATGTTAGTGGTGTTTGAATTCATAGGGATCAAAAATTAAAATTACTATTAACTAATATCAATCGCTTCAGGTTTTTTTTTACATAATTGCGATTATATTTTGTGGGGATTCTATATTATCATACTGTTTATTTATTTATTTTTTTAGTTAGTTTTAAATAATACAAAGATAATACATTTTACAAGAAATTCACAGTATTTCTGCTTCAAACATTTTTAAGTGTTACTTGCCGCTTCTTTGTAATTATTTGTAAAATGTACTTGCAATTTCTGAGTCAAAATTGTTTCACAGTAAATCCTACACTAATTTTTTTGACATTAGGCCTATATAATATATATTTTTCCAGAAGCGTTAA